GCGACAGCCGAGTGCGGGCGGCGAGGGGTCCGGGCTCCTAATTATCCTCTTTTTTTTTTTTTTCCCCAACCTCCCTCCCGTTGTCTCCGGTACGTGCCTCTTGCCTCGCCTCACCCGGTGGCCCTGGAGTTTGGACCCGATGAGCTGAGCGGTGCTGGCGGGCACGGGGTCACCCGGAGCTCGTCCCGTGCGTGGGTCCGTGCCCTGTGGGTGCATCCCCTGGTGCGTGGATGGTGCCCAGGGCACGGATCTGTGCCCTGTGGATGGTGCCTGGTGCGTGGATCTGTGCCCTGGTGCATGGATTTGTGCCCCATGGATGGTGCCCGGTGCGTGGATGGTGCCTGGTGCGTGGATTCGTGCCCCATGGATGTGCACCCTGGCTCATTTGGGGGCATTTTGGATGGATCCTTTGCGCTGCCACCCTCCCATCCCCACGGTGCGGTGGCTCAGAGCCACGCAGCAGCTCCAGCACCACCACGGCTCGTGGTGCAGCGAGCCCCTGGCCGGCTGGAACCATGAGAGCAGTCCCAGAGCCTCTTCCCTTTCCCTCCCTCCTTCTCCCCGCAGAGAAAAGCTCGGAGGTGATTTTCTCGTGGCCACAAACACACTGGGCTCGTGTCCCCTGCATCAGCTGTGGGGTTTTAGGCTGGAGCTGGAAATTCGGAGGGAGCAGAGCGGTGCCGGGACTTTGCTCAGCCCCATGGGCTCCTCAGCCTACCCCGGGCTGCTGGTACCTGGGTGAAAAAATCAGTTTGGTAAAAAAAAAATCAGTAAAAAATCAAAAAATGAAGCTGTGGCTGCTGCGATGGGACCTGGGCACCTGGCGCCCTTTTGCCCGCACCGGTGGAGCAGATGCTGAGCTGTTTGGTTTTTTTTTGGGGGGGGCAGCTGCATTTGGGGGTGTAGCATGCTTTCAGCTGCCGAAATCTGGAGGCTCTGATTTGTGGGGAGCCTTTCTGAGGCTTTTTGCCGGTCTCGTGGGTTAAACCCTGCGGGGGGAACCCGCCTTTTCCCACATCCCTCCCTCGGGCAGCCGAAGTCCTGGCGTGGGAGATGGGAAAACCCCGATCCCGACCCCCGAAACCTCTGCGGGGTGGCCTTCCCGGGGAGCTGCTCGGTGCTTTGGGTGCAGGAAGGGGAAGGTGCCACCCGTGACGGGGCGCGTGGGTGCTGGGGGCCCCCCAGGATGGTGCCAGCAGGTGGCAATGTGGCCCGAAGCAGCGCGGGGCGAGGGCAGATGCTGAGCGTGTGGGGTACGGGGCGCCCCCGTTTGGGTTTGTGGCCAGGAGCCCCCTCTCCCCTGCCTCACCCAGGATGTCCTGATGTGTTTTGGGGCTGTTTCGGGCACCGGGGTGGTGCTGCAGAGGGGGAATTTGCGTTTCCAGCTCCGCTGTTCGCTTGTGGCCCTCCCGTGCCTCAGTTTCCCTGCTCGGAGAGGGCCGAGACCCCAGGACCACCCCATGCAGGTCCCTGCCTGCAGCCTCAGCGGGTGCCTGGGGATTTCCTTGGGGTGGTGTCGCCACCAGGAGGGCTTTTGGGGACGGCTGAGCTCACGGGGCCACCCCAGGTGCAGCCCCCCCAGGGTTACGAGGGGCGTTCCTGCCCCAGCTGTGCCGGGGATGGGGCAGGAGCAGGGCGAGCGCACCGAGCCGCCCACCTCTCATCCCACCCATGTGTCCCCCCCCTCAGGCATCCCTATCCCAACCACAGCACCCCGGGGTGCTCCGGGACCCCCACCGGTGCCTCTCACCCCGCTGCCCCCCCCCCCCGCCCGCGTCCATCCAGCTGCAGGTTTCGCTTCTGCATCTCCGCCGCCCAAGGGGGAACTCAGCTGGCGAGAGCGAAACTCGGCGGCTGCAACGGTCGCACGGGCGCACCGCCCCCCTGTCCCCGTCCCTGTCCCCCCCCCCCACGTCCCCAAGCTCCTGGCGGGGCCGTGCCGTGCGCTCGGTGACCTCCCCAAGAGCCCGAAGATGGTTTTGGGGTTCGGCGAGCGCTGCCCGGAGCTGGGAGCTGCCCCGCTCCATCCCTCAGCTGGGGGAGCACCGGGGGCACCTCGGGCACCGCGTGGAGGTGTCCTGGGTGCACCTGGGCCGTGGTTTGTCCCCGTGTTGTCCCCGTTCCCGTCCCATCCAGCGTCCCTCACGCCTTCCCCGCGCTGCTCTCCCATCCCCGTTTCTGTGGGCTCCTCGGGTTTAATTTCTTTTCCAGCGGCCGCTGCGGGCTGGAGGCACTGGAGAAAAACGGCAGAAGGTTTGGGGACAGCAGAAGGTTTGGGGACAGCGGAAGGTTTGGGGGATGAAGCCCCCGAGCGGGATCGGCCAGTGGCCCAGGGGGAAGTTTGGGTTTGGAGCCCAAATGTTTGCGGCCCCGGCCCGTTGCTAGAGGAAACGTGAAAAAAGGGAAGGAGAGATTGCGGTCGGGCCGCTCTTCCCCTCCGCAATCTGCGCCTCCGTCTTGGCCCCTTGGCATGGAGAAGCCCCAAGGAGGGGGCAAAAATGCCCCATGCCCCCCCGCCCCCTTCCCACTGCCCCCCAGTTCTCGGCCATCCCCGTGGTGGCACCGGGTGGTGGTGGCCCTGGGGACGTGGGCACCCCACGAGGATCTGGCTATGGCAGGGCTTTCCTGTGGAGGCGGCGGCTTAATTAGCTCGGGATTGATCTAATGAGGGGGGCTGGGGCCTCGTTTGTGGGATTTAGGGCCTTCCAGCCCCCTGCGCCAGGCGAGGAAGGTTGTCCTGGCCACCTTCCTCCAGCAGGCCATCGGGGATAGGAGCTGCGGCGCGAGGCTGGTGGGGCAGCAAGGCTCATTTTGCCCAATTTTGCTTCGTTTTGCCTGATTTCGCCTCGTTTTGCCCGATTTTGCCTCGTTTTGCCTCAGGCTGGCTTCCAGCAGTGACATGGGACTGATCCTGCTGGGAGGTCGGGGTGTCAGTGCCATGCCTCAGCCCCGTGCTCCTGCCGCCCTCGCCACGCGGGGCGAAACCGAAGCTCGGGCTTCCGAACAGGAACAGTTTTTTTTTATTATTTTTTTTTATTTTTTTTGCCTGGTCAGCACTTCTGCGCGGCCGGACACAAAGATCTCCTTCCCTTTCCCCCTTTTCCTCCCCTCATTTCACTCCGAAAAGGGATTTCGCTGCCCTGTGCCACCTCCATCGCTCCTGTATGTTTGTTTTTTTTTTTTCCAGCTTAACGCACGGTTTGCAACACCCGATACTTTTTTGCCCTGGGGGGGCGAAATAAAACCCTTTTTGCCACCGTCTGGGGACAGTGGCCAAGCACTGGTGCTGCCACCTCCGTTAGCAGAGGTGTTTCCAAACTGATGGGCATGGCACAGGCACTGGCACACGGGCACGGCTCCAGGCTCCGGTGGGCGCACTTGGGGTCCCCGCGGGGGCTCCACGTGCCCCCCTCCTTGGTTCTTTTTTCATTCAGGGGATCAGCGGGCAGCCAAAACCAGCAGCTCGTAGCACAATCCCCGTGTCAGCACATCCTCCACCCAGCTCTCTGCTTGGAGCACGGGGCTCTGCCAAGCAGCAGCGCCCCGAGCCTCGCCGGGGGGCCGAGGGAAGGAGAAACCCCCTGGGAGGGGGGCTTGGTGCGCACTCCCGGGGCAGGATGGGGACGGGGACACCTCGCAGCCTGGTGTCGGGTTTGGGCGCAGCCCCCAGGGTGAGGGTGGTGCCGTGGGCCCACTGGTGTTCCGGGGTGGCCCTCGAGGGTCGTGCTTGGCCAACAGGTTGGTTGGGCAAGGAATTCCTTAATGCAGCAGGTGCAGCAGGGGGAGAGGCTGAATGCGGCATCCTCATCCCCAGTTCTCTGCCGTTGCGGAGGTGAAGGAGCCAGCCCCGTCCGTCTGTCCTGCAGCTGGGAATCCTGCGGCTGATCTGCCCGCAGGGCCCCATCCTGCGTGGCATGGGGACAAAAATGTGGCCGGGAGCTGCTGCGGGGTCACCCCGGGACCCCTCCGTCCGCAGCTCCCCCGTTATTTTTGGGGGGCAGGCGCAGCCCCGGTGCGAGCCGCGCGCTCCTGGGTCCCTTTTTGTTGGGGCTGAATTTTGTAATGCCAGGAAATGAGCTGGCCGTGGGAGGGGGGAGGCGGCCGGGGAGAGGAAGGCTGGTTTTGTGGTCGAAGCGGAGGACGCGGACGCCGGAAAGCCGAGCACAATTCCTTGCTTTGCTTCGCAGGCGCCGGGGGGGGAGGCTGCAGCTCGGCTCGGGAGCGCAGGCGCGCGCTGCGCCACCGCCGCCCCGCGTGCGTGCTTCTCCGTGCCTCAGTTTCCCCTCCAAACCTTCCCCTCGCCCGTGGAGCAGAGCTGCCGTCACCTGGAGGACGGCGGTGGCCGCACCGGGAAGCCAGCTGGTAAATGAGTGACCAGCACCGGGCTGCGAGCCCGTTTCTGCCCCGCGTGGGTCGTCTCCGCGGCCGGCCTCTGAGTCACGAGTGGGATGAGCTTCGCCGCCGCGCTTCCTCCCGGGCTGCTTCGTTGGGTTCCCCGCGAGGGCCGCCGTCGGCCCAGCTCAAGCATTTTGTTCCCCGGGGGGAAGCGTCCCGAGCCTGCAGGTCGGTGCCGTTCCTCGGTGGGCACGTGCAAGGCTTTGCAGGGAAACGGGGAAGTCGGTGCCGGAGCCCCGGTGCCGTGCCGCAGCGCCCTGCTCGCGCGGAGCGGCCGCTTGCCCCTGCCCTGGGTTAATGATCACTTGGATTTTATGGTTGCTTTCATTCCCAGGCTCTTCTCGGTTTCTTTTTCTCCCCACTCTCCTTGCGCTCATCTCTCACCTTGCTCTTGTCACCCTTTTCCCTCACTCGTGCCCCGTCACACCTCCTGGCACCGACGCCTCCTAGGGTCAGGGCTTTCGGCTGCTTCCCCGGGGCTCCGTGCAGGCTGTCCCCGCTCCGGCTGCGGGGTCACCATGGGAGGGGACCCCCCGGCCGTGCCGTGCCCTGCTCGCTGCCTCCCTCCCCTCAGCCTCACGGCCGTTCCCTTTTTCCTCTTGCAGCTTGACTGACGAGCGGTGGCCGCAGCTCCTCGGCTGGCAGGATCCGAAGATGCAGGAGTCCGCGTAGCAGGTAGGGAGCACAAAAAAACCCTTTTCCTCCCAGATTTGCTTTCCACGGGACGAGCATCTCCCCCTGGCCCTGTGTTCACCAGGAGCTCACCTCCCATTTTTTTGCAGCGGGCACCTGAGGGGCTGAGCGCCGTGGCCACGCTCCTTGGAGCAGCCTCTTGGGCGCACGGCGGCGTGGGTCGGGGCTGGCAGCGCTTCCAGCCCCCGTGGCAGGGAATTTTGTGGGCAAGGCTGTCCCAGGGCAGTCGGCTGGACGAGCCCTGCGGGCAGAAGCCGCTGTTATTTTGTCCCCTCGCCTTCCCCAGAAACGAGGAGGGAGGGAGGGCGTTGCGGTGCGGCTCAGAAAGGGCTCGGTGTCTGCGCGCTCCCCCTTCCTGACCTTCTTTGCCTCTTTATTGCTCTTACGGTAAATGTTTGCATCTCCGCCGGCTGTAACGAGCTTGTGGGAGAGCCGAAGCCGCGTCCCTCGCTTGTGCGGAATCTTTGGTTTCGTGTAATGCATGTTCCCTCTCTGCTCTTCGGATCAATAAAAGGAAAGGTCTTAAAAATAATCCGAGCCCAGCTCCCGAAAGGAGGGGACTCTCTTCCCTCCGCTTAGCAAGCACTTTGGCTGGCTTGAGATGGCTTTTTAGTGCCGGAGAGGGGGCAGGTGAGCTGTTTGGAGGCTTGGGGCTGGGAGATGGGAAGAGCTTTGCCCATTTCCCTGCAAGGTCGGGGCCAAGGACTTCTCCTGCTGCCATAAATCCGCGGGGCGAAGCGGTGGATGGTCCTGCTGTATGGGGGCAGGCGAAGCGCCGGGCGATGTTGTCCTGCCGCGTGTGACAGCGACGTGGCGAGCCTGGGGACACGGCACAGGGCTGGGTGAGGACAGGGCTGGCTCCCGAGCACCGTGGTCCTGAGGCACCCCCGGCCCTGCTCAGGATGCCGGGGGGCAGCAGCGGGATCTCTAAAAGCCTTCATTTGTCCCCAAATGCTGCTGGAGGCCGGTGTCTCTGCGTGTTTTACGTCGGCACAAAGCGCTCGGGTTTGGGGCTGGAGGTGCCGCTGGAGGTGCAGGCGTTGAGTTTGGATCCAAGGAGGAGCAGCTCAGCAATCCCTGCACCTCCACGGCCGGCACGTGGAGCTGGTGGCTTCCAAAAACACCTCCGGGGGCTGCTTTGAAGCTCGTCCCCCCCCCGGCTCACCGAGTGACAGGAGCAGAGGGATCGGCCCAGCCTCGGAGGCGTGCGGCGACCGGCGCCGGGCGCTTTTGTCCCCTCCAAGCCACATCCTCGCGTCCCGTGGCGCTCGGTGCCCGCGGTCGATGGGCATTTTGTGCCCCATTTGCTCTGCCCGAGCAGGGCTGATGCAGGAGCTCTTCTTGGGACCGTGACCTTAACGGCATCGACTCCTCCGTGTCCTGAAGACGGTCGCATCGCCGCTCAGGAAATCACGTGCCCGGCACCGCGTGCGCCAGCTGCAGGGGCTGTGCCAGGCTGCTTCTCTCTCTCTTTATGGGATTTTGCAGCAAAAGGCTGATTTCCCTCTCGTGGAGAAGAGACCTGAGGTTGCCGGGCCCGGCTCGGGCGTTGCGAGATGTTCTTTTTATGAATTTTGGAGGTTTAGTTCTGGTGGACACCTGGGCTTGCGGCCGCTGGGATCGCACCGTGCCGTAGCCACGAGCAGCCCCTCAGCCGGTGGGTTTGGCACGGGGCAGGGGGGCGCTGGAGGAGCTGTAGGGTCTCGCCACAACCCCCCCGGGTGCCCTTCTCATCCCAAAAGAGAGGAGGAATTGGCAGGGTGATTCCTCCAGCCCTGCACCCTGAGGTCTCCTTTCAGCTCCGGGGGGCGCCGAGCGGGTGCCAGAACCCGCGGGCGTCCCGACGCCGGCGTGGAAAGGGACGAAAACCATTTTTGGGGCTGAAATCCTCAACTTTGGGGGCAAAGCCAGCCCCGCCACACCAAACCACTGCCCTGGCTGCGTGGCTCTGACCGGGGGCTGCATCCCCTGCCCCGTCCCCCCCCCGCCCTGCGCCCCGTCCCGCGTTTCCTCCCGGCCGCCAGCGCCCCGCGGACGTGGAAGGGCCGCAGCCAGGCTGGCTCCTGGAAGCCCCGCTCACTCTTTCCACTGGAGAGTTAAAATTAGCAGCTGCTTTTTTTAAAACAGGCGTCGCTTTAAAAGCCCTGCCAGCCCAACTGGGTTTCCTTTTATTGCCCCCCCCTCCCGCCGCCACCTCCTCCCCGAGCTCCTTTTTCTCTGGAGTTTTGTTGTTGTTGTTGTGGGGCGGGTGCTGCGCTTTTCCCCCCCTTTTTTTTTTTTTAATTTCCCTCCTCGCTTTTTTAGTTATTTTTTATTTTTTTCCCCCCTTTTCGTCCCTCTCTGGTAAGCGCGGGGGCAGGGTTTGGAGCCAAACAAACAGCTCAGGGCCCCCCCACCCCGATCACCTTATGGGATTTACAGCCCTTATCTCTTATCAGCCTCCCCACTGTGCCTGGTGGGGCTGCTTCCCCTACGCCCCCCTTTGCTCAGGCACAAAGCTCCAGCATCCCGTTAGCCCCACGTACCCACAACTTGGGGTTTTTGGGGTGTGGGGGGGGTCCCATATCGGAGAGATCAGCTGCATGGGGATGGGGAAACTGAGGCACGGGGGGAGGATGCTCCTCGCTTATGGGATTGGGATGGGAGAGTTGGGATTTCCCCCAAAACTGTCGGAAAACTCGCTCCGAGCCCGGCTGCTTGGTTAACACGGGTAAAACCCATCCGGGTGGGGGCCACTTTTGCCCCCCACCCATCACCACAGCCCCCCAGGGGGACGCTGAGCGATGGCACGGGACGGATCCGTCCTTGTCCCCTCTCCACGTGGCTCGGGGGAGGATGCCCTGAGAGGGGGGGACCCCGCTTGCCCCGGGGGCTCGCAGGCGCCGAGGGGACCCCGGGGCCGGTGCTCGGCGGTGGCCGTGGCAGCCCGGATCTGCGAAAGCAAACAGGAAGCCGAGCGGGGAGCAGCCCACCCTATTTACTCGCCCGCGGCTCGCTTGTTTACCGGGGGTTCCCCCTGAGGTCGGTGCTGGGGTTTTTTAACACCTTCCTGCTCAGCCCTGCCCCGGTTCGGGGCCCCCCCAGGGTGGGAAGGGGGCGTTTTTTTTGTGGGGGACCCAAAATTTGCTTTCCTTCCAGCGCATGTGGAGAAACTCGGGTAGGGGTTTGGCGCTGCGGGATGCAGGGATGCTCGAGGTTGACCGGCGTGGCTTTTCTAGGGTTTTTTTGGGGGGAGAAGGGAGGGGAATTGGGGTCCAAAAGGGGTCGGTGCGCGCGGTGCTGTGCCCAAATTTCCCCAGCTGCTGGGTGTGCAGGAGGAATGGGCTCACCAGTTTTGGGGTGGGCTCGCCAGTTTTGACTAATGGTGCCATCCGAGGGGGCTGAGGGTGACCAACGGAGGTGGAGGGGTCTCAGATATGGGCTTGCCCCCCAAAAATAAGAAGTCTCGGAGGTGTCCGAGCCTGGGGATTTCCCGTCACCATCTCCTGGTGTGGGGACACAGGGACCCCAATGGTTTGGGGACGGACGCCTCTGCCCCTGCGCTTTTTTGGGGTTCCTCACGGCTTTGGGGCCGGTTCTGCTCTGATCCTGGGTGGGCCTGGGTTAGGGCAAATCACCCCGGTAATAATTCTGCTAATTCCAGTAAGGATTTTAAGATGCATTTCTGTGAAAACTTAGGTGCAAAGCCTGTAGGAGGGAGGGTTTTTTAGGACGAGTTTTAGGTTTTTAGCTCTTTTAGTTCTTTAGCGCACCGCCCTTGGAAGAGGATCTGGGGAAGGACCAAACCCAGCTCAGAGGCTTCTCCGTGGCCACTGAGATCTTGGTGGAAACAACCATGGGGTGGGTGAGAAACGCCACAATTTGGGCTAAAAACCAACGTTTAGCCAGTGCTGGGGGGGCTCGGCGGGGTCTTCGCTCTGGTTTTGGCACCTGTTTGGGGACGGGGTTTGTGGCCGCGGGTCCCATCCCTGATCTTTGGAAACCAAACCTGGGTCCCGCTACCTGCTCCAGGCCTGCTGGGAGACTGCTTCCCTCCTCCTGCTCTACCTCTTTTTTTTTTTTTTTTTAATTTTATTTTTAAATCCCCTTTCTTAAGCCAAAATTTTGGCTGAAACGCTTTAACTTCTACCCGCCAACTTGCTCCTCCTGAAAACCACGCGTTTTCTCCCCCCCCCCACCCCAATTTGGAAGCCTGCAGAGAAAAAAAACAAAAAAACTGCCTTGTGGCCACATTTTTTTTCTCTTTTTTTTCCCTATTTTCCCTTTTCCAAGAGGACTTTCCCCCACTGGGACTCGCCTTCACCCACAACACTTGGATAACCCCGATGGCTCCCGGCTGCCTTCGGGTCCCAGCGGGTGCCCCCGGCACCGGGTGCGGGAGCATCTCCGCAGCTTCCCCGCGCTCGGGGGGCTTCGGGGGCGAGCTGGGCACGGGCACGGGGCCGGGCGGTGACTCAGGCTCCTGCTTTCTATTCCTGGCAGGGCCAGGAAACGCGTCGGGAGCGCGGGCGGCGTCGGGCTCACGGGGCCGTGACTGCAGCCCGCGTCCCCAGCGCCGCCGGGCCGGGCATCTCCTTGCGCTCGCCCCCACAGCTCGCTGGGGTGGCCAAAATTGCAGGCCCCGCGGCGTGCCGAGGCTTTTCGTAGCCTGGCCGCCCATCCCTCGCGGAGTTTTGGGGTGATTTGCATTGTTTTGGGGTGATTTGCATTTCCCGAACGCCCTCGGGGAGAGGCGTGATGTGACGTGGGCGTGCGCGTGAGCAAGTCACGGGGACACCGCGGCGAGGGACGGGGCCGGGCGTTTTCGGGGTGCAAGCAGCCATGTAAACGTGTCAAAAACAAACCCCAAAGCTTCTCAAAACCCAAGGATTAGCTCCAGGGCCGTGGGACACGGATGGGGTTAAAGCAGCTCCACTTTTGCCTTCCCCACTAATAGGAAACACACCGCAGCGGGGCCGGCTGGCGCAGCCAGCGGCGGCCCT